AGAGTTGTCATGTTGGTCCCTTAACCCAAGAGTTGTCATGTTGGTCCCTTAACCCAAGAGTTGTCATGTTGGTCCCTTAATCCAAGAGTTGTCATGTTGGTCCCTTAACCCAAGAGTTGTCATGTTGGTCCCTTAACCCAAGAGTTGCCATTTTGCTCCCTTAACCCAATAGTTGCCATGTTGGTCCCTTAACCCAAGAGTTGCCATGTTGGTCCCTTAACCCAAGAGTTGTCATGTTGGTCCCTTAACCCAAGAGTTGTCATGTTGGTCCCTTAACCCAAGAGTTGCCATGTTGGCCCCTTAAGCCCAAGAGTTGTCATGTTGGCCCTTTATCCAAGAATTAATATGTTGGTCCTATAACCCAAGAGTTGTCATGTTGGTCCCTTAATCCAAGAGTTGTCATGTTGGCCCCATAATCCAAGAGCTTACCATTAATCAATGTAATCCCATGCAGGTCTATTCATCACAGAGTTCGTCATTCTTGCGTCTTTGTGAAAGAGTGTTTCATACTTCTGCCGTTATAAAGTAGTTTCTAATTCTTCATACAAAACTGGATCATAAATATCCCTTCATAAAAGAGTGTGTCAGACTGACTTCTTTATTAACGATCTTGTCATGCAAGACATATCATTATCAAAGAATTTCAAGTCAGTATAAAACCATATACATTTAACGGGTCTGTGAGTGAGTGAGTGATTGTTTGAGTTCAGTAGCTTATCATTATAACACATATATCATGTGTGATTTATATGAAAGGACTGGGTATGGTCAGGAACCTTTGAGGCACTCCGGATCCGCGAAATTTAAAAATATGTGACATTCATCGGATATGGTAATGTGAATGATAACTAAACTCCATTTCTAACGCATGCATCTAACAAAATATGCAATAGCACTCAATATCTTTATCTATAAATATATCTCTCTACTCATATCTATATCTATACATATATCTGTATCTACACATCTATACATACATACATACATACATACATACATACATACATACATACATACATACATACATACATACATACATACATACATACATACATACATACATACATACATACATACATACACACATACATGCATACATACATACATACATACATACATACATACATACATACATACATACATACATACATACATACACACACACACACACACACACACACACACACACACACACACACACACACACACACACACACACACACACACATACATACATACATACATACATACATACATACATACATACATACATACATACATACATACATACATACATACATACATACATACATACATATACATACATGCATGAGGCATTTGTTTTTCGAATATTAGTACTTGAAGGAATCTTTGACACAAGGTACATTTCCAAGACAGTGTCAACAAATGGTAACACTGTCATCTTGCTCCACGGACCTGATTATATATCCTTGAATTTCACAAAGGCGTTTGTTGTCAAACATTTGAATATGTCTGATGATGTTCATACGCTATTGCAAATGCTTCCATAAAATTGAACTTAAATAATTCAAATCTGTCAAATTGGATCTTAACCATAACGTTATCCTCACGAAATCATGTCTATTTTTTTAAAAAAAGGTGAAATTATCATGTTTCTTAATTAACCAGAGACTTTTCTTGCATTACCTGTACATCATACAGAATTAAATAAACAGCAAAAAATATGAAACGTTTATCGAATATGAGTTATGATGATGCGTGGCTTGCAGCAGATTTCTTCGCCATGCGTGCCCCACCAGCGCTGAGGCAGGCCGGTTGACCACAATCCTGCGCGATCGCTTGCCATATGCTGTAGCCTTCGTTCTAAGTCACTGGTCGTTTTGAGCACCTCATACGATTCGTGATGTGATTGCATTGAGCTTTCATTGAAGCGGGTTTCAATCAAATCTCCTCCGCCATTGGTTTCAATGGATCAAGATGGGAGCGACTACGATATTTTAAAACATTTCTTCTTAACATTGCATTTTATTCACGTGCACTTTAAACCAAATAAAATTAAAATAATCTGTTTTAAAATGTTTCGTTTATATGTCGTGTCTTCGAAATGAAATACTGATATATTGACATGTTTCTTTGAGGATTAAATTCGTTTCATTTCATTCAACATTACACTCGTTTGACTCACAATAAAAAATCAAGTATGTCAAATTCTTTCTTTGAGTGGCATTTTAGAAGTTGGGAAGTACAAAATAGAACAAACTTTATGGAGAACAACTTCTTTTATTCGTGAGTGCGACGTTTGGATACAAATTCTTGTACCGTTGTCAAGCTTGTACCGGTACAAGAATCTGTATCCAAACGTCGCACTCACGAATAAAAGAAGTTGTTCTCCATAAAATTTGTACTGTATTGTAAAATTCTTACCGATAAACATTGTTAATCAGACCAAATACCAGTTACGTTAATATCCAAAATATCAAATCGGAAGCTGTTCTGCAAGATCCTTCAGGTAATAGCTGTAAAACATTTCAATATAATTTATTGAAAGAATAGCGTGCATATGTCCCAACTGTTGTTTATTCAACCACCCCAATCAACATTTGCATAACTCCCGCAGTTTGAGCCTTCCAGTTGCCATAGTAATTAGCCAATCAAAGCATGCGGTTAGCACCAATCAATGCGCCACGTGCAGTATGGCTGCACGTGCCAAATGACCTATCAGGTATGGGAAAGAAAGGCAACCATTCACTATGGGGAATCTTTTGTATAATTATCGACATGAGCCCATCAGGATTTCATTCGCCGGAATCTTGCATTTGTACCTGTTCAGGATCAATCAGTTAGAGGCCCTCCCGTGACAGGTGTGAGGCGAAAACTGTTACACCACGGGACACGCGAAAGGTCGCGCTATCCACTTTCGCCATTTTAGTGCGCATGCTCGGATTATGCGCTGGATAATTGATCTAACAACGGTACTATTCATACCTGTCGCGTATAAATGACGTTTGAATATTTGAAATAAACACGCGAAGCGTACACAAATTAAAAATCAAATCAATTTCTCTGGATTAAATTGGGGGAGTGAAATTAACATTTGTAATATATTACATTCTAAAGAAAGTCTTGAACGCCAGACAGATAAATTGGCAATAGGTTCAATTAAATATAAAAGACACCCGGTAAAAATTGAATACCGCATTTGTCACGAAACCGAGTTGATGGATTAATGGTTCTCTTTGAACGAACTTTTAGTTTCTTCTGAACTTGGCACCATTGATTGAATCTAAAGTTTTGAAGGAAGTATATCTGCGGAAGGTGTCTTTGATATATACGTGACATATTGATTCTTATTGTATAGCTGTACACTTAATTTGGGTTATGTTCCGCGGTGTTTGATCACAAAGACGATCGCCTTCGAGGGGAAAGAGGTGGGTGCGTTTCCTGGTCGTTTAATGGCGGCCCGCACGTGTCTATTTCTTAAGAGACATTTATCATTTCACTTTCGCTTGTGTGAAAACGTCCCAAACCTGTATTTTGAGTTGATTGAAAGTGTACGTATTTTTCCACGTGACATATATTTTTAAATAGTTCGCTGGCATGGGAATATTTTCTCTGGTTATGCCCTCCTAGCGGCCGGTCTCAAGGGGTAGAAGGTGGTTTGTTATTCTGAAGTTTAGAATTGGGATATAAACATTACTTGGAAGAAAAAAGTAACGTTCAAATGTTAAAGAGTCTTTTGTAGTCCTATAATAAAGAGCTAAAGGGCTATTATTCATTAAAGACCACCAGCTCTGAGTAAATTGGTCTTTTAAAACTAGTTCTACCTTTAAGGCCATACCTTCAGTGTTAACACATTCTGGATTTCTGAAAATATTACTAAGACCTAAATGATTTAACGTACATTCAATAAAATTTAACCAATTATCTTGATAGTCATAGTGCTGTTTTTGTAGTGTAATGAAGTTGTGTAAAGTGTGAGATAATTTAACGTTTGATATTTTGGGTACAGCAAGGGTGTGCCAATATTTAATCAATCGCTTTACAATCTTAATTCTCAGAGGATACCTTCCCGTTTCTCCGTAGACCATGTAAGTTGGGGTAGATACTTTAAGATTACAGATGAATTTCAAAAACTTCAAGTGAACTGTTTCAATAATTTCCAGTTATTCATGTCTCCAGGTTTCACATCCATAGCAGAGAATGGGAACAACCATTACATCGAAAGCCCGGATTAAACAGTCAATCGGGAGGTTAATATTTCTTGCCGTTTTTAAAAGGCAGAACATAGCCTTACTTCCTGAGTCAATTAAAGTTTTGATAGCTTGTACCAAACTACCAGATCTATGTAGTTTTAAACCTAGATACGTGTAAAAGTCAACAATCTCTAGTGCATGTTCTCCGAAATAGAATATATGTTTACCTTTAGAAGGTACTCCACCACCAAATATTACAATTTTGGTTTTGGATATACATGTATTGACATCAGGCTTCCACTGCACACAATACATATGGAACGAATTTAATAATCTCTGGAGTCCATTAGGACTTTGACTAACAAGTACTGCATCATCTGCATATAAGAGAATAAAAAGGTGTAAAACAATATTCACATCTAAACCCTCGATAAGAACACCATCACAATTATCATCAGAAATGTGTGACTCAAGATCATTTAAGAACAGTGAAAACAATAGTGGTGATAGGTTTTCACCTTGTCTTACTCCACACTCACTCGGGAAGTAGTCTGAATAATTATTATTTGCACATACGCATGTTTTAATGTTTTTGTACATATTTTGTATTAAGTCGAAAAACCGCCCATGTATACCTTGCTTCAATAGTTTATGCCACAAATATATGTCAAATATTCTTTTAACCAGGTTTTACAGTAGATGATAGAACCACGTGATCTGTAGTTTGTTGTGCAGAGTTGGTTGCGTCCCTTAGTTGTGTCCCTTAGTTGTGTCAGAATCTTATGATCGTTGGTGGGATCACATATTTGTTATTTTTGTTTCTAGATATACCAACACCATACCGAGTCCATTAGTGCCACCAAAGCGGCAAGAAGACCTGCATGACTACGGGATTTATCCGACATAAAACAGACACGTGATATAACTGAAGTCTCTCTCAGTGTACCGGAAAAATAAATTATGTGCTTGAAAATTGGATGTGAAGAAAACAATTTAGGTCGTTAATCGTCTGTAACGGCCGTCCTTGTGAGATAGCCATTGACGTGATGCATGTAATATAGCCTTATCATATCCGTATTACATACATCACCCTCCAATAAGCATATCGTGTTCGTATTTTGTTTCTTTAATTTTAAGCTACCGTCAAACAAGGTTGCGTTCTTTTACCCCGATGTTAACTATAAAACCCCTCGTATTTGGGGAAATATAAAACAGAACTAAAATATCATTCTAAAATGTACTTGACATATTTTCGGTTGTCACTTCAGCTCCTGGTACACATGCATAAGTTGTATGTAAGGACCTCTTGATTCTATCTTGGCTCTTGTGTTGACCAGTCGATGGTGACCCCCGTGAGTTACTGAACCCTGTCAGTGACCCTAGTAACCCCACGTGGTATACACGACTAGACAGGTGTCATCTTGGGTGAGTCCCTTAAAGCCCCATCTCAGGTCTTCTGGGGACAATAGAAGACAATATCACCAGCGTTGAATGGCATGTCAGATAATCCTATTGTAATGGACATAGCATGAAAGCTAACGTGTAGATTCACTCATCGTTTGTAACATGTTTGCAATTAACTTGTAACCATCCATGAAATCCAGTCTACGAATTGATCTATTATTCCACAATTTATTTAATTTGCATGGAGATGGCACGAAAATCCACATGGCATGTCCAGTATATGAGTCATGCATTTCAGAAAGATCCTGCAAAAAGCGATTACCTTGATACGTACAGATTCATACGCTGCCAAATGACTTTAAGTAGGATGAAGCGTTTCCAGTCGATTTGCTACCACCTGAAGAAGAAAAGCGAGTCCATCGATAAGGTTTCTTTTCACAAACTAGAATCGACAGTAATTTACACCTTTAAGTTAACCAGCCTGAACAAGCTGAAATATTTTGTTTTGTTGTCATAAGACGCCATAACCGGCGTCATATGGGCCTTGAAACGTATCTTCCTATGTGAACAAACCAAGCGTGGCTGTAGCTCACCTGATCAACAAGCACGATCTTGGACTGTGAAAAAACGGCCATTGGGAATTAATGAGCCCTTTTATCTAATCATAAAGTTCATTTACATTTTGATTCCACTAAGACGCTTTATCGAAAAGCGGATCTGGTAAATAATCTCTGTGTGCATACATTATTAGAAGTGTTGGGTTCCTTGACACTCGCAAAACAATGGCCGGATTTGGCGACTAGCATAAAGACATAACAAGCGTGACCCCGCGTGTAAGGCCTGAGGTCAGTCATGTCGTGGCCAAATCGATAGGAACTCGATCTCTAAAGAATTAATTTTCTGCTAAAGCGAGTAAATCCTTGAATGACGTTTTGTGCATTGTCTGAGACTGTATTACACGCCCACTGAGTCCGTCATCGCCGACATAACACTGTGTAGAGTTCACGTAAAATCAGGTGTAAGACGTAATGTACTCGTGTTTACGCCGATTCTGGCGGATATCGAAGTATAAAGATAGACTTTCCGTTTACGAGTGCGTGTTTGGTAGGGAGTGATCAGCATAGATGTATTTATTAGCGGATATTTTCACGAACACCTGGTGCCATCACTAATATAGTGTAATGCATAAAAATACTTGGAATAAAGTCGGAATCGTAGAATCACAATTGCATTTTGTGATGATGAAGATGATGATAAAGGTGATGATCCATCTAGTATAACTCTATTCTGCATGACTCGTCACTATATGGCTGAAATATTGCCGGGGTGACGTTAAATTTTAACTCACTCACTCACTCACTATTTTGCATGACTCGTCACTATATGGCTGAAATATTGCCGGGGTGACGTTAAATCTTAACTCACTCACTCATTCACTATTTTGCATGACGACTTTCATGCTAAAAGGCAATATTACCAATTGATCAGTGTGCACTCGAAGTACATTCTCAGCTCAGACGTCATGATGACATCATCACATATAGGGAAACAAACGTGGTTCTTCGTCGTCACGAGCGAACGACCGAACCACAAGACTACCCCATCACCCCTTAATAGTCAAGCTGTCAAGCACGGCACCCATACAAGAGTTCTCCTAGACCTACGTTGCCTACTTTCACCTTTAGCAGACATTCCTTGTGATGAAAGTTTGTCGTATTTATTTAGTGTAATATCTAAATTCGAGTGTCTGTCATCCGTAGTTAACGGCACATTAAGCACGTGCTCAAACCCCAAACAAAATATTTACAAAAAAGGTACATGACAGGGCTGTTAGTGGTGAGATTTCCTCACTGAAATGCTTATTGTTTGAAAGCATTTCCCTCAACACTTAACGCCTCATTGACTTCACTATACAAACACAGATTTATGACTTTAGAAATGTCATAGATAATGCAGCGGGTTATTGAAATCCAATTTTCATTATATTTTTGTAAAGTTGGTGTTTTATATAACGTATTCAAAAGTAAAAATCAGTTTATGGCCTTTTAACCAGTCAGAGAGTCCTTCATGTTCTAAAGACACTATTCAGTGGCAACATATGCGGGTAGTTTCAACTCCTGGGTTCGTAACACGACAGTTGCCGTAACACTATCCTACCAGACAGCGAGCGAGCAGCTACGACTACGAAACAAAGGTGTCATAAACCGTAATCTGCTCGTGCTCGAGTTGGATGTACAAAGCTATATTTATACTGATACCGGGAGACATCATAAAATTGCAAAGTCTGAAAGAGTGTGTACATATTGTAACTTAAACAATATCGAAGATGTGTACCATTTTACCCTTATGTATCTATACTTAAAGAACATTCGAAAGCAGAACATGCCAAAAAAATATTTAATTCGACCTTCAGTACAACAATTTATTAGCCTTATGGCAACCACAAACTATGAAGAAAATGAAATGTGAATCTTTTGTTAAACTGATCCGGATCCTATACTGTACCATATGCAGTTCATGTAAATGGGTACATGATATTTCATATAATAAACAGTTGAATTTGAACATTTATTCGAAAAAAAATATATGTGTTGTTTTGTATTATTGGTTTCTGTGGATTGTTTAATGGCTTAATGTGATCAAGGTTGGCGTATTTTCATAATGTTGTCGAAACACTTGTCATCAAGAACCGTTGAATATTTTTAATCAGGGTTACCTTTCAAATCATCGACAACAAAACAATGAGTGTTCAGTCAGCTTCGACCTCCTTACACCAACTAAACAAATGCATGCAATTTGGACAATTTTGGTACACAGGGGTGCCAATTAAAGAGGTTCAACTATGATACAGACAAATGGTTTCCTTTAGGACTCAGTGGCCTGATTTTCAAACAGCATGTCGTCCGTACTCTAGTACTATGACCCAGTTGTTATATAACAAATAAACAAATTCAACTTTGACTACACATTGAAATTTAACAATGGTTCAAATTTGGTTTCATAGAAGTTTTACGGTGGCTGGTTGCGTGCGCAATCAATCATGAAAACAATGTGTTTCTCCAATCGAAATGCTTGTAACAAAAGTCAGTTTTCTACCTCACAACCGCCAACAGCAATGAATAAATACTGTTTATACGCTTCAGTGTGCATGTGTCGCACTCTTAATACTTTTCAAAGAGATTACCTGCCTTCAGTACTGCCTGTGATAGGTGAACAAGGGTTTGAAAGTCATCTGAATCAAAAGCAACTGCGGCTTACCGCTGGAAATAGAAGGAACGAACAAATGTTTTCAAGACAGTAATAAATACTCAATAAAACAAGACACGTGTGCGCCTGATTTACACGTGCGGCCTACCTGAAGCGATTGTTAACATGGCAGAAATGCTCAACGGCCCAGAGCGCAACCTTGGCTTAACCCTGTCTGGGGTTTTATGATACTTTAAAGGGTATTGGGCTAGGTTCCCTCTTAACACCCACGGTGAATACATGTTCCTAGATCGTACGTTCGGTAGTCGTCACTTACACGTGCATCTCAAGAGGACTGGCACGTCGGTCGAAACACCTACTTCACCTTAATTGATTGCCTCATCAGCGAAGAGCACTTCCACCTTACAGAAACTCTCACCTGAGATCGACTGTATTTTTTTCAATAGCTAAAGAAGTTTCATACATGGCGTAAAATGAGAGTGTTTTTGAAATGTTTTTACTCCTTGTAAGAAGCAATTACGAAGCATGAGTCGTGCAGGTACGTTGAATGGAAACCAGAAATGGAGTGTTGATGTTTAAGATTAATTTTATTGAGGAACAGGTAAGGGAAATATGCTTAATAACCGATCAAATTTGATCATAAATTGAAATGAGACTAATAATGATCACAGACTGAGGTTCTGTTTATACAGCTCGCAATCGGATCGAAAAAAGTGCAAGAACGTGTTACCGGCTTGTATACTTTAGGAATAAAGGCGCCCGGGGCAAGCGTAGTGGTTAAAGTGTTCGCCCGTTACATTTTGGTCCAGGGTTCGAATGCATGAGTACAGTAACACGAAACCCACTTCATGTGTCCCTGCCTTTATATTTCTGGAATGTTGCTAAACGCGGCATAAACCCGGTGATTGATAGCATGAGCATCGACCCACGGGGTACGATGACACAAATCACCGAGCCTCAGTAGGGAACACCTTCATCTTAAAATTAGCAGATATAGTGGGTGAGTGAGTGAGTTGGGTTTTACGCCGCTTTTAGTAATATTCCTGCAATATCACGGCGGGGGACACCAGAAATGGGCTTCACACATTGTACCCATGTGGGGAATCGAACTCGGACCTTCGGCGTGACTAGGCTACCCATCCACACCTTAGTTGCTATAGGTTGCCAGGGAGCACCATTCCAGCTGGTAGTCCTCACAGGGTTTTATTCACATATGGTTTAGTGTTTGATGGTATATGGTTTTGTATTTAATTCATGTATAAATGTTATTGTATGCAACTACTGCCTCTCCAAATCTTGGAGGTTGTGGGGTAGTCTAAAAATGAATATGATATATAA